TGAAGATTCCTTATTGGCTGATTGCTGTATCTAGATGATGTTAATTGAAACAAGCTGTGTATAATCAGTTAGGTATAAATACCTCTGCTGTCCCACAACAAAGCGGCTCCCACTGTTTCAACCTTCACAAGTTGCTTGTCACCCTCCTTCCTCCCCCTCCCCCCTCTTCCTCCTCCTCCCCTCCCTCCGTCCCTCCCCCACTGATCTCCGCTGTTCACTTGTTGCTCTCTAAATCTGTGCCTCCTGGGTGGGTGTAGGTGCTGAGGGCCGGCCAGGCATCCAGGCAGGAAGGTGAGGGCAGTCTCCCTCCTGTGCCCCTCAGCCCCTCCTTCCTACCCTGCTGCTCCCTCTTCTGTGTTCGTGGGTGCCACTCCCACCCAAGCACACCCTTCCTTTTCTTTGGTCCCTTATTTTGCTCTGGCACATATCAAACATCTGCCCTTGCTTCACTCGGCCTGACGCTCTCCCGTTCCCTGTCTTCCAGCAGGTGCAGGGCCTCTCTCTGTGGCTGAGTAAACCCCTGTGGCACACCTACCACGTCTTCATCTCTTCTTCCGTGGGCGGGCGCCTGTGGATTGTGTGCTGTAGATGCTGATGTGGCTCGTGCCTGTGGCATGCTGGCTTAGGTCTTACCGTACACACCAAGGGGTGGACAGCGGGGTCACGCGGTGGTTCCTTTACTAGGTTTTTGAACCTCAAAACGAAGGTGAAGAGCGGATGAAGCAGGCTCCGGCCCCCGGGCAGGGAGGACGGTGGTGGGGAGAAGCAGTCTCCATGTCATGTTTGGGGAAGCTTCTTTGTACAATCCGGGCTGGTCGGTATGTTTCAGAGACCTGAGGATCTGGCTTCCTTCTGCAGGCTCCACGCACGCCCACTCTCTGGGCCACACCCTGGCTGGAGGCCCACCTCGGGTGCTGTGGGCAGGGGAGGCATCCCCCAGGGCAGCCAGGAGGCCAAGGGCAGTGCTCTGGGCTGTGGCAGCCTCTGGGCACCATGTGGAAGTGAGGGCCTTGGTAAGGGTGCCCCGACCCACTCCCACCCGCAGGAGGCTGTTGGCCAGAGCTGGCCAGAGGTGGCCAGGCAGGCCTCCCTCAGCCTCCACAGACCAGGCTTCACTAAGCCCATCTCAGCCACCAGGCTGCTGGGGAAGTCGGGGACAGTGACAGTTGGAACTGCCCCCGGCTCAAGGCCTGGCTGTGGCCACCCCCTGCCCCTGGCCCAGGTCACTTGCTGGCCATTTGGGGCCTTCCCTGGAGGCCTCCAGCTGCCTCTTCACAAAGGCACCTTTCCCAGATCCTCYGACCCTGGCCGCTCAGTTTCCCTGGAGCAGAAACACTCCCCAAGGCCCCGGCGCTGCTGCCCACGTGCGGGCAGCCGGGCACCCCAGGGCCCAGGCGCCAGGGCTGCTGTGCTCATGGCCACCGGCGGCCTGCAAATGGGTGTGCTCGGTCTGCAGAGGGAGTGAGGCGGGAGTGACCAGGGAGCACGGCCGTGTGCCTGCAGGTGACAKTAGGAAGGCCGGAATGGAACTGGAGTGGTGGCAGGGTGTCGCCAGGGGGCAAAACTGTGACGTATGCAGTCGAGGGGGGAAATAAAGAATGTCCACGTGCTTCTGCCCCTTTCAGTGCTTTATTCCCTCAAATCACTCCATACAGTTTCACTCTATGGGTTCTTAATAAGAAAAGGACGATCCTTAATGCTGGGCACTGCCGTGGACATGGTCAGCTCACAGCAAACCATTGTAAGCAAACACCCTTAGTCACGACAGGCTCAGGACAGACTGCCCTCTGCAGGCTGAGTTCAAGTCTTCAGCCTTAGGCTTTACGTCCAGCAGATGCACACTCACTCAGACCGCGGTGACCAGGTCCCGAACCAGGGCAGGCTTTTCCTGGCGTGGAGTGGACGTGGAGTGGACGACCGGTTGAGGAGAGGGTCCTAGGGAGAAGCTGCAGCTCTCACCGGGGTCCAGACCAGGCGGTAGAGTCTGAGAGCAGTGAGGGTCGCGCAGAGGCTCAGGAA